TCCGGTTGCAGTAATTCACCGTAAACCTTAAATAACTTAATTATTACCCGGAGATTACAACCGCGAGGGTAGCAAGAAGAAGCAATTATCTGGAAAGGGATTACCCGGAATTTCGTTTTAGTCTTTTACCGATATTATGGTCTTTATATGCGACAATCACAACATCGTTCTTTTTTACGTGCAATTGAAAATATTCTATTTTCGATTGACAATGAGTAAGATTCAATCAGCGAAAATTTTTATCGTTAGATAGAAAAGATTGCATTCATGAATTTAAATTTTTGATAATTTTAACAGAAACAAGTATCTACAAATTTATTATAGTTTTGTCTTATAGCATAATTTATCGTATAAAAGTATTTTATAAGAGATTTTTACATAAAAGTAATTATATTTTTTATGTTAAAAACATACTTATTTAAATGTTTTTAGAATAGATATCTTTCTTCCATTGATCATAAATTGTTTTAAGGTAGTCATACAGGATGGGTAATATTTTGCGACATGTGTGACTTTAATGATTATTTATATTGTCATAATTATGCTTTGAGTTATGAACATTGTATTGTTCCTCTCTTTTTCTTTAAGAGAGTATTCTGGTTTAAAAAATCGTAAAAAAGGTATTTTTCATGATTCTTTTTTAGGGAAACGAAAAAGGCGAATAACGCTAAACTTTGCATGTTTTTTTAGCCTTGTTTTAAGAATATATTTTTATTCTTTAAGTAACAAAAATTATATGTACATTTAAAGCGATAAACATTACGATGATAACGTGCATATCGACACGTACAAAATCAGTATTTTTATTTCTATCTTTTTATGCAAATTAAAGACTAAATTAATTCCTATTATAGAAAAATCAAGCGTGTGAAAATTAAGCAGCTTAAAACATTAAATTCAACAATTCGATTCGAGACACTTGATTAATAATTATAAGCGATACTTGTGCAAACAGGCAATTAGAACGTGTGTTCCTTTGTTACACAGACTGTCAACTCAGGCTGTCTTTTCTAATAACATTTTATTTTGTGAAATAAAAAGAAGTATATTTATTTATAATTTATAAAAATATGAAAATATTATGAAATATTATCCGTCTAGTTATTAGAAAATCGTTAGGAAATAATAATTTGGAATATTAACGTCGTTATTGGAGCATTGTATGATTTTATAATCATGTGGGTAATAGTACCGGCAGTTTCACGTATTCCGTTGGATTACTTGAGCAAAAAGAAACAAATCAATTTGCAAAATAATCGCGGATCACATTGTTAACATTGGAGACTTGCATCTCGAGAATCGGATCACAGCGGCGAGACACGAAACCTTTAGTGGCGTATCACGTGTCGCAGAGCGGGTGGTGCTGCTGGTGCACGAAACACACTTTCGCGCGAACGTTCCCTCGGCAACAGTTAACTGGAGCTGCTCCGTCTCGGTCTACGATCTAGTCATTTAGCAGAAGGAACCGACTGGCGCGGAGCACGTCTATGCTGCTTATCGAAACAGAAAGAAATGACGGTTTCTTCGGCGGATTCCCAGGCTTGCCCGTGCGCTCGGGTGATTAAGGACCAAGGGATAAAGCTGGGTAGAGAGATACCGCCATGCGTTGTAGATGGAACGACGTGGGCGTGTGGACGAACGAAACCACGAGAGAGAGAGAGAGAGAGAGAGAATTGTAGAGAGAAAGATCGAGAGGATGAGGAGATAGGGGGAGAGAGAGAGAGAGGGAGGAAGCAAGGACAACGTTTGAAGATTGGGTCGCTTGTAGGTATGAGCGCGCGGGCTTATGCGCGAGGCGTGCGCCACCATCACCACCACCACCACCACCACCGCCGCCAGCACCACCAGCACCGGCGCCACCGCCGCCACCACCGCCACCACCGCCAGCACCATCAGCACCACCTCCACTTCTGCCTCCTCGATCAGTCGACCCCGTGCAACGCGGCATGCCGGCTGCCGCGTGATATTGTTCCTACATAGTACGTGGTGCGCTCTTCGTGAAAGCCCGCCGGAATAATTTCGTAAAGTCGAAATCGTAATTTCTAGCGATCGTCATCGGCAAGTAAAGAGAGAATAGGAAAACACGTCGTGAGGAGTGACGCCAAGTCGCTTCTGAAAACGATAAACTTTAGGGGGAGGGGGGTGAAAAGAGGGACGAGTAAGCGGAAGCGATTTTGAGAGGTGAAGCTCTATATCCTGCGCGCGTGCGTGTATATTGTGCACGGGAGTGTGTATGGGAGGGAAAGTAGGGTGAGTTTAGAAAGCAAGAGAAGAGGGAAGGAAGGAGGAAATGGAGAAAAAAGGGAAGAAAGATCGTGACGGGGAAGATCGGGTTAGAGGGTGGAAATTGGCCGTTTGAGAGCTCGTGGTTTTGATGAGGAATAGCTTGTCGCTGTTGGCGTGACTTTATGGGGAAAAGGGGCAATGGCGGTTCCTCCTCCTCACTTCTCCCCGCTCCTCCCCGTTCCCCCTCCCGCTCTATCCTATCCCACCCTACCTCACCCCCAAAAGTAGCGCCAGAATTATTTTAGCTGATCCGGTTAGAGATCATTTGAGAGAATGTATCTCGGAGGAATTGTTTGCCGTTACACTTGCAATTTAGTGCAAAGAAGCTACGAAGTTCGCTCTTTACAAAGTAGTATAGTGATCCATTATTCAAGACGGAGAACGTGTCTTTACGTCTGGAAAAACTGTTCGCTTCCTTGTGATATGAAGAATATGCGTTGGAATATTCTTTAGTTGTATTTTAAAATACCGAATTTTAATTTTAAGATTCTCTTTTCTTTCTCTCTCGTAATCGCGATTCCTCACATTGTTCTGCGTTTTCTTTTGTATAATTCATAAAAAATTGATGTGATCTTTTTTCAAGAAAAGCATAAGAAATTTTACAATGCTAATGTAATTCTATACATATATATAGCCGAAGAAAACAACAGCTCGAAAATAGATTCTAAAAAAATTTTTTTCGCAAAAGGAACACGTACATATTTTACATCATGGAAATGAAATTAACTAAATGACAAAAGATCAAGTTCTGCATGGTAGATTTTATATGAATTCTGTTATCAACACAGTGATTGAACATTGAAGTCTAAAGTCATTGAATATATACTAAAGTGCTCTTAAGAAATGAAATCTATTTATCACGTATTTTGCTTTTGAAAGTAGATAGTATTTCAAGATCTATAATAAAGTAATTCTTTCAAAGGACAAGATTCTATACAGATTCCTTCTTGCGTTCTTGTGTCGACGAGATTTTTAGCCAATCTTAAAGAAATTTGTTGGTTGTAATTGTGGATACGCACGTTGATCGAGTTTTAAATTATACAGCGCGTGGTGGTTATACTTACAATTAGCGGTTTAATAGTATGCATATGCCGTCGCGGGATTCTATCTTTGGTTCATGAAGCTTTAATGATGATTCGTGGTGGACTGCATTATTGCAATCGACACCGTGCGGTATTCCGGCGTTGCGGTTTACAGCGGATACTATAGTCGGAAGTAGAAACTGATTCGCGAAATACGAAATTATTATCATGTGTCGCAAACGGCCATGTAATGCGATAATCGGAAAACTGAAGTTGTATAGGAATGCGATTATCCATGCGAAGCATCATTTACACCCTTATCGATTGATAACGCATATGCTACGCTTTCATAATTGTTAATTTAATTTTAGTAGTCTAATAAACTTTTCGTCTCGTTTTAGTCCTCGTTTTAGACCCTCTGAAAACAGAAAGAGAATCAAATAAAGATTACGTGCCTTTGGTAAAACTAGAAACTTAATCGCATGCAGATAATTATTTGCATCACGATAATAATCACTGTTTTATTGTAGCAAGTAATATAATTTATTATTATATGTGATAATAATACGTATTTAGTTGCAAAAATAATTTTATATTATATGTTATAATGTTATATGTGACAATAACTATTTTCTCTTCGTAAAAAGTGGTTATAACGTACACGTAAACAATGAACACATAAAGGAATATACAAGGAATAATCTTAGTTTTTGCGTGATAATGGTTTTCGATGTGATTTTATTTTAAAGATTGGCGTTCTATAAATTATTTATTCTTATTGTTGCATCAGGCTATTTCTCATCAAACACTTTGAGTCTTCGTGTAGGGAATTGATTTATTTGACAAAGTGTGTATATATATATATATCTCATTTCCTTTTCCTTTTTATTAAATAGGCTTAGAGAATTGAAAAAGAGAACGTACCGTCCCCTCGTGCAAATGCCGGCTTTCCACTCGCTAACTTGTTGAGTCTCTCTCTCTTGGCAGATATGCTACCCATGGGAAACGCTTTATGACAATTCTAAATCTTTTACGTGGGTATTATTATTCAATGACCTATAAAAGTTTTGTAGCAAAAGGGAATATCCAATGTCATATATTGACATTGCACCATGGAATTTAAAGTATGACCCATGTCTCTACAAAGTATTTCGATTTCGACATTGATATTTTAAGCAACTGGACAGAGATCTGTTGTTTTAGTATCCTTATAAATGATCATGTCGATCTTTCGGGCAAGTTGATGTAAATTAACTTTTGACCAAATTAATCTATTAATCCAAATGACTAGCGTTATTGTTTAAAAGATGATTTTTTTCTTAGAAGAGTAGAGCATTTTGGAAAAATAAAGTTCTTTATACAAGCTGTAGTTCTCTAACGACTTGTGATTAAAAGATTCGTCATATTTTTGCTTCTCCATAACAATATACATATATATATGTATAAAAATTAAATATACATGTATATTTAAATATTACAAAAAATTACGATACAGTAACTACATGAAGAATAAGTAACATATATTTTCATCTCTACTATTTTGAGTTTGGAATTATTGTGCGAAAACTAAAAGTTAGTCGCGTAATCAATGGCACAATTGCGAATTATTATTTATTATTTTAAAATTTAGCTTAATGCACAATGCATTTTAATCTCAGTCTTTAGGCAAATTGAGCAATTCAATAGATACGAATATTCGCGATATTAGCGGATTGCAAAGGTTATCGTTTTTCCTTTTTCAAAAATCGATATCAGATATAGAAGCATAGAGTGGTAAAAACATAGTGAGTGGCCTTTTTATGGAGTGGCAAAGTTTTTCTCCGCTAAAAAGCAACACGCAAAGTGCACTGAGTGCAGCTTGAACAAGATCGACGATTCCTAAGGAAACTCTATCCCTCAAAATCGCCTTACTCTTCGCCAAAGAATCACTCTCCTCCGCCCGATATCGCGATCTTCCTGATGCACCGTATGCATAAGAGGAAACTCCTTCCCAGACGGTGACAACGAAGACGAAGACGACAAGGACGAGAAGACGTCGCGAGAGACAATTCGCCTGAAGCATCACTCACTCACTCACCTTCTTTCTCTCTCTCTCTCACTCTCTGTCTCTTTCCTGGAAATCTGACGAAGCCGATGCGTGTCGAGTGAAAACTCAACGAGCTTATTTTTGCGTAAAGACGCTCGCAGGGGTACCGCATACCGCATACCGCATACCGAGTACCGATGGATAAATAATCGAGCGTCACACAGCGTCTATCTATATCTTTCCATATTGTTCAAAAGACACCGAGGGTTTTCGAAGAGAGACACTCAAAGACGTCGAACTTGGCCGATTAGTAAAATTTCGAGCGAAACTTGCTTATTCTTATCCGAGCGCGGCTAGGATATCCGGTCTGATCATGAGTTCTTGGATGAACTGTCCGTCCTCGTTGCTGCTGTTGCTGCTAGGCTTGAGCCTGCACAGCGCGTGCATCACGCGAGCGAACGGTGCCGGTAGCCAGGACAGTGATCACGACGGTGGTCACGACGGTGGTCACGACGGTGGTGGTCACGACGGCGGTAGTCACGATTCCTTAGTCGTGGAGACTACCAGCGGGCTGATGCGCGGTTTCTCCCGCACGGTGCTCGATCGTGAGGTTCACGTGTTTTACGGAGTGCCGTTCGCGAAGCCTCCAGTCGGGCCTCTGCGATTTCGCAAGCCTCTGCCGATCGAGCCCTGGCACGGGATCCTGAACGCTACCACCTTGCCCAACAGTTGCTACCAGGAGCGCTACGAGTACTTTCCCGGCTTCGAGGGTGAAGAAATGTGGAATCCGAACACCAACATCTCCGAGGACTGTCTCTACCTCAATATCTGGGTGCCGCAAAAGCTACGTCTACGTCACAAGGAGTCGCCGGATAACGTCGGTAACAACGGCATGGCGATATTGGTGTGGGTTTACGGCGGTGGCTTCATGAGCGGTACCGCCACCCTGGACGTCTACGACGCCGACATTATGGCGGCGGCCGGTAACGCGATCATCGCTTCGATACAGTACCGGGTTGGCGCCTTCGGTTTTCTGTACCTCAATCAACACTTTATGAATAGCGAGGAGGCGCCGGGCAACATGGGCCTCTGGGACCAGGCCCTGGCTCTCAGGTGGCTCCGCGAGAACGCGCGCGTCTTTGGCGGCGATCCCGACTTGATCACGATCTTCGGCGAATCTGCGGGTGGTAGCTCGGTATCCCTGCATCTTATCTCGCCGGTCACGCAAGGCCTAGTGCGCCGGGGTATTCTCCAGAGCGGCACCCTAAACGCCCCGTGGAGTTACATGACCGGCGAGAAGGCGAACGAGGTAGCTCGGGTGCTGGTGGACGATTGCGGATGCAATTCGACGATGCTGCAAGAGAACCCGGCACGAGTTATGGCTTGCATGAGGTCGGTCGACGCGAAAACTCTCTCTGTGCAACAGTGGAACAGTTACTGGGGTATTCTCGGCTTTCCGTCGGCGCCCACCATCGACGGGGTCTTCTTGCCTAAGGATCCATTGGACTTGGTCAGGGAGGCGGATTTCAAAGACACCGAGATCCTGATTGGAAATAACGAGAATGAAGGTAGGGATACTGCCGGTGCGACATGTGCGAGTGTTGTTTTACGAGGGAATTACCGCCGACGCTGTTTACGGCTACGGCCGGCTGTGCGGTTAAGCCAAGCTGGATGGCCGGCTGCTGGTTTGTGAATGAGAATATGTGTTTTCTCTGATCGCGGAGCCGCGTTCTTCGGGCTACGGAGTGCCTACGGACTGGGTCAAGCAGTCTCTTTCCCGGTTACGATTATTTCAGTATATGGATGAGACGTCAATAGCGCACTGCAGTTCGCTATAACTCAGTTTACACGATGTGGAGAAATAGAGAGATTTACACATGATAGCTCTTTTGGAGCTTCTATATATATCCTTTTATTATATATATGTATATATATATATATATATTTTTTTTTTATACCACTTGTCTTTTCACGTCACTTCTCAATCTATGGCATCTTTAGGCATTCTCAGCAAATATGTAAAATTAAATACGTGCGCAGGCTACACTATGTTATATAATTGTTACCAAATTACCCAATTTTTATCGACACATTTGACATATTTAATTCTTTGACGAACAGAAGGTTGATTGTTTATTTTTTTATTTTTAGAAACATAAAATTTATTTAAATTAAAAAAAAAAGTTTTGAAACTTTTTCTCTCAGCAAAGCGCGCATCAGTTTATCATTAAAATTCAATATGGAGCTGTACATTGAATTATTACATTGTCGATCGGGCGTTTATAACAGACATTAATTTATAAATATTGATATTATATAAACGCTTTCAATCTTAGCAATCTCCGTTAATTGCATCTCACGTTATAGTTAGCTAACTGTTTTATTCATTACCTTATTAAAATACGCTCACGATTTAATTATTTCGCGATTATTCACATCTACTTTATGTTTTGTGCGCGCGTGTTTCTCGCGACAATCTTCTAATTGTTAAATAGACAGAAAAGCGAATAAAATGTAGGGATTGCAGGATTTAATAAAATGTGGCTATTTTGCAGTAGTAATCGTCTACGTCTATGGTATAGTAAACAGGGTTATCGGTAAAGTCCTGACACTTACGATTAGAAGCATGCGCCGTTCTTTTTTTTTTCAATGATATAAATAATCAAACTGTCGATATACGGCAGAACTACATACTGATTGGTCGCGACGTAAACAGGTCTTTATCATTACGTAACCCATGGGTTACTCCAGATAGGGCTACGTAATGATAAAGACCTGTTTACGTCGCGACCAATCAGTATGTAGTTTTGCCGTATATCGATTAAATGACCAATAGTGAAACGGCATGTACGTTGCGCCTCCAGTCTAACTCGGATGTATCTCCTTGATGAGAGGATTATTGATATATGTTATCTTTAATTTTGTATAATGCACGACGCTCTGTCTATATGTTGATGATGTTCACTTATATTGTTAACTTGAAAGTACGAGCTCGTCATTCTCATGGGAACGTATACTCGTCTCATATTGACATTCAAGTATGCTAGTTATTAAGTTTTAATAACTGCGGAAAAAGATTTGATAAAGACTTGGCTTATTGATTGGAATAAACAATAGGCGCGAGTCACGAATTGAATAAATATAAAAATTTATGTCAGAAAGATTAATAAAAGTGGAGAGTGCGTGCTTTTTTTTTATTTGTTTCTTATGTCATCGCATAAGCGGTATTGTAGCAATCCAATCGAACATTTATACACCACTATCTTTATTCTCGACACGCGAGAGTTACTGTCGATTTAATGACCGTATTGCTTCCTACGTAGGATCGTTATCTTATGTTTGATTATCCAGGCATTCTCTGTTTCTGGCGCATCTATCTAGCATGCAAATGCCGTGCTGCGGTGATAAATCGGTATTGTCTGTAGAAACCGCGTACACACGTACACACGTTCAGTGCGTGCGGAGTTTAATTCAAAATATAACGAAGCTTCCTTCGCTAAATCGGTTAATCAAACTTTGGTATTGACAGCGAGCCACCACACCACGCGCAATTCTGTCTTCTTTTATTTATTCTCTAGAGAGAGAAATAGAGGAAAAGAACGTGAAAGAGAGATATCGAGGAAGAGAGGTATCGAGATTCTATGTGTCGTTGGAATTAATTACCGTACACCTGAATGGCGATAATTTTTAAATTATTAAAAACAGATAAATAAAATAGATTAAATAGCGCGAGCGAAACAAGGATAAAGCGTCGGAGCTATTGCTGAAATTGGATTGAATTTCACACGTATTACCTGATATCGGAAACAGGTTTCTAGTAACGACAAATCGAGGATAGAATACGTTTGTTGAGGAGTGTAATTTTTGCTGAGATCAGAGCTCAATCGCGTACACCGACATAAAAAGTTTAATTAAAGATATTCGAGAGAAAGAAGAAGAAGGGTGAGAGAGAGAGAGAGAGAGAGAGAGAGAGAGGGGGGGGGAGGGAAACGGAGAACGATTGGTACTATTATGAGTGCATTCGAGGAGCACGCTATTAGCACAATTATCGTCCAAAACTGTTCGAGGAGACGCTTTGTGGCGCTGTGATATACGATGATGACGTCACTGTAAAGGCAGCGTGACGTCATCACTCGCGCTATTTTCGCTATTATTTTTGAGGTGAGGCACGAAATACTATTGGCGCTTAAACTGCGTTCGGGGAGCTTGCTATCGTTGTCGCGCTATTGGCTCCTCGAACAAAGTTCATAGCGTTTGCGTTTATAGTGTTAATAGCGTCTCCCCGAATGCACCCTATGTATATTAAAATCTGTTTTTCGCGGTGCTTTATGAAACATTGTCACAATTATGTTACTTTAGGTACGCTGGTTCGTTTATCGACATCTAGTTTAACTTTTAAATTTCTTGAAATTATTAATATTTCTGTGGCAGGGGCAAATAAAATATTTTATTTAAAATAATAAAATAATTTTTGTTAAAATGATACACACACACACACATTTAGTTTTATAATTAGGTTTTAAGTTTTTTGGATTTTTGGTTTTAAGTGATATTTAATTTAACAAGATTATAGATTATAGAACAATAATTATCTGCTTAATAATTAAGTGTAAAAATTCATATCAATCTAATTGATGTAAAAGATAATTTCTCACTTAAAAAAAAATAACTTCAGTTAGTAATTGGAAAAAGTAATAAATATATTTTAATTTTGAATTACAAGGAAAAAATTGAAGGATTTAAGTAAATTTAGCTTCGAGAACTTATATAAATGAATATAACAATATTCTATTCTTTAATTAATTTTAAGCGGATTTTGTTTCAATAAAGTTTTGATCTGATAATTATCATGGTGTTTAATATGTCAAAGAGACAAATGTTGTTGAGACAAATGATGGTTTTTATATAAAAATTTGTCTATCATAAGATTTACTTCAAAGGTTTTGTCGAAAAATCCACTACATATTAAAATATATATACAAGTTGTATAACAAGATATATTGAATTTCAATGATAATTTCTAGAGACTTGCATCAAAATCCCTACACCTCTGCTGATGTCGCATGAAGTGACATTTTTTATTTATTTTATTATCATATGGATAAATGTTATTGGCATAATATAAAATATTGCTATAGTATATTTCGTATTCCTCTTTTATTCTGACGATTAACAACATACATCTCGGTTATCTGATATCGTCATGTTTTCTGTACGATTTGATAACGTGAAATGACAAGTGTCAAGTATCATTATGTATGCATACACGAATATTGTATATACATATATATAGTATATCAACCTCATGAGAAATAGCGAAATGTTATTACAGTTATTGTATATCGAAGAAACTGACAACCCGGATCTGTAATTCATGATGAAATTACATATTAATTCCATAATTATGTCCGTCAACATAACTCGACATCCGTTGCATCAAGATATAATTCTTGTTAATCAAAATTGGGCTGCTTTCACTCGAAACCTCTCACGCCGCGGTTTACACGCTACTTGGCACTTAAGACTTATATAGTTATACTTTGGCCTTAAGCAATGTGTGTACTTAAGCACACTGACATTTATACGTATTACGCGATATATGGTTTCCATAGATTTATGTGTGCGCTGTGCTTTATTGCTCACATGTAAAATAGCATTTATATTCGGATCAAGTTTCATATTTTCGCCTGTCGATGGATAAAATGTGCTAGTTAGGTTCTTGCGACAAAATATTTTGCATAATGTACCGAAAGAGGAACGAATCTGTGCAAAAATACGTGAAAGAAGTGTTATTTTTTTCCGAGTGGCAACTAAAAACCTATTGAGGTCTCGCGCTATTTCTGTAACGAAACTTACTCACTTTTTTCAGTTTTTGAAGGAGCACTGTTGCATTTATCAAGTACGTTTATTAACGAATATTCTATAACATAATAACAAAATTTATATTGTTTTGTAATCAATATATCCGACATTATTGAGCTGGAAAGAACAGGAAATTTAAGTAAATGTATATTTTATCAAATTGCAATACGTTGTGATTTCAATTCAAGAGACCATTACGTCTACGCAGTAACGATCGCTATTCAATAATGCCGAGCTCGATATAGTCAAATTGTTGCCACACTCAACAAACACCTATATGTATGCACACGTAAACGGACACTTTGTACGATCCATTCTTTATTGGATATTTTCGCTTGACAACGGACGTTCCACTTTAAAGCCTAGATAACGGGAAAGAGGCTCAGAATGCGTTTCATCATTGGGTTAAGGTCGGGTTAATTGATTAACGATATTCGGATAGCGACAGCTGCACTAACGCGGTATTTTTAATTTTTTAAACGCAAGAGTTTGGGGGCGCGTTAAATCGCCATCGTTGTGCCATTTTTTATTTCCGTTTATTGCATTACCGAAATTCATGATCTTTTGATGAACTCAAATCTCTTGAAGAAACACAGCAGCGATATATGAGATAAAAATAATGAAATGTAGAGTATTCAGAGTATTTACAAACGAATAAAAATATATTTATAATTATTTTTAATGTCAGAATTACGTTATATTTATA